AAACCCACCAGCCACTCCTCGGAAGGAAGGTTGGGCATTCCTACTTCCGTAGTGATACTGCCTCGGAAACCCAAGGAGGGGTCGCTATGAGTCAGGGCCAACTCGATGGCAAATAACAACAACAACAACAAAGGTTGCACAGCCAGCCAATGCGAGGGATCTCGGGAGATTAATGCAGGGCTGTTTCTGCCTCATTATGCTGCCTCCTTTGCAAGAAACTGGGCACCATTTGCAGGCTTGAGAGGAATGCCATGGTGAGCAGGAAACTAACTTCAAGAGCCTTCAGATTCTGGTGGTCAGGTGCTCAGATAGGCCAGAGAATTCCAGAACCTTTTGTCTATCCTAAAGAGAAAGAAAAAGAAGAACTAGGTGGTGTGTGGCTACCATTACCGACTACTCTGAAAAGTATCACAATAGAAGGTCCTATATAGAGCGAGACAGAAATGTGTAACAAAACTCAAAATCACACACACACACACACACACACACACAGAGCGAGTTCACTGATCTGACAGAGGTTGGTGGAATCCCCAAGACTACGGCCCTCAGTCACCCTTCAAGTCTGGAACTGACTCAACTTTCAGCCAAACAATAGACAAGTCTGTAAGGTGAACATAGGAGTCCTGGTGGCACAGTGGTTAAAGCACTTGGCTGCTAACCAAAAGGCCAGGGGTTCAAGCTCACCTGTCATTTCATAGAAGAAAGATGTGACAGTCTGCTTCCATAAAGATTAACAGACTTGGAAACCCTATAGCACAGTTCTACTCTGTCCTATAAAGTCACTATGAGTTGGAATCAACTCAGTGACAGTACTTTTGTTGTTGTTTATTTATAAGGTGAACAATAACACCAGGGAGGTATGCACTCCTTAGAACAATCAACTATATGAGATCAAAAGGGCAGCATTTGCTCAGGGATAAAACTCAGAAGGCAGGAAGGGATAGGAAAAAAAAGACAAATGGAAACAGGAAACACAGAGAGGAAGTGAGAAGAGTGTAATCCATTTTGGGGATTACAATCAATGTCACAAAACAAAATGTGTATGAATTGTTGAATGGAAAACTCATTTGCTTAAAAGAAAAGAAAATGATGAAAATGGTATGGCTTTGCTATAGACATCTTTTCCTCTTTTTAAAAATTTTTATTGTTGTTGAAATTGTACACAGCAAAACATACACCAACTCAAGAATTTCTACATGTGCAACTCGGTGACACTGATTACACTCTTCACATTGTGCAGCCACTCCCACGCCTTTTCTGAATCGCTCCTCCTGTATTGGTATGAACTTGCTGCCCCCTAAGCGTCTATCTAATCTTCCAAGTTGCTGTTGTCAGTATGATCCCAATTTCCTATAGACTTTATCACCTAGCTCCAGCCTCCCCTGCAGAGAGCCAGGCTGGCAGGAACATTTAAGGCCCCACTCTGCTCCATCCTTGTTTTGTACCCTTAAGCAAGTCATGTTATCTCCTTGGACTTTGTTGTTGTTTTCGTTCTGCGCCACCGAGTCAGTTCCAACTCATAGCAGTCCTATGTACAACAGAATGAAATGTTGCCTGGTCCTGCACCATTCTCACAGTCCTTGCTATGTTTGAACCCATTGTTGCAGTCACTTTGTCAATCCATCTCATTGAAGATCTTCCTCTTTTTTGTTGATCTTCTACTTTATGGGAGGTCTGGTGGCATAGTACCTAAGGCATTGACTGCTAACCAGAAGGCTGGTGGTTCAAACCCACCAGCCACTCCACGGAAGGAAGATTGAGCAATCTACTTCCATAGTGACTGCCTCGGAAATCCAAGGAGGGGTTGCTATGATTCTGATCTGACTCCACAACAGTGAGTTTGTTTTTTTTCTTCTCCTTTACCAAGCATGATGTCCTTCTCCAGGGACTGGTCCCTCTTGACAATGTGTTCAAAGTACAGGAGGCAGAGTCTTACCATGCTCACTTCTTTTTATTTTATTTTATTTTTTATTGTGATTTGGGT